TCTTGTAATACCCCAAAATTTTAAAAAGTCACTAAAATGTAATTTTTAAAAGTTAAGTGGTCAAAGTAAAATTTTAGGAAAAGTTTAGGGACTAAAATGGTAATTTCCCCAAAACTTTATCCCTTAAATGAATAGTTTACCCCTAAGAATGATATTTTTTGTGGGAATCAAATTTTTGATCCGGGATTTGTATTAAAAGTTATAAAGTGATAAAATTCGGTAAAATATTCGGATAATTAGTAGTTTATAAAAATTTGAAGGATGATGGAAAAAGGTTAGAAATATTATTTCTATATTTTATCATGGTGAAATTTGACATGAATCCTTGGAATTTTAGATAAATTTTCCATGTTAAGTTGAAATTGTAAATTTTGGTAACTAAATTGTAACTTTCAAAAATTACAAAGGGAAAAGGTGGAAAGTGAATTATATTTGTTTATCTTTGACTTTTTGATAATTAAAATGTAAGTTTTTATTGTATAAAATGGTAGTTATCATGATTTTTAAAGGATAAAGTTGTAATTATGTATTAAATGAACTTTATATTCATTTAATTAATATGTTAACAAGTGTACATAGATATTGTTGTGGAAGACTCAAGAAAACTCCTTTTCCTTATAAATTTCGTGCACCATAGATAAAAATAAGTAAGGTATGTTTTCTTTATTTTAGTCCTTTTACTTTGATTTTTGAAATAAGTTGTGAAATAAAAAAACGATCTATCTCAAATTCTCTACCATTTGACATGAATTTTAAATGATTTACATGCTTGAATCAATGATTTTATTTCTAGTGTGGATGATGAATAAGTTGGAGATTAATGATTTATGGATACATGTTTCTGTTATTAATGTTATAAAGTTATTTTTAAGTTTAAATAATGATCAAAATTACTTAGAAATGTGTATATACTATTCAGTCATGGTTAAGGTTCATGGAGAAATGAAAATTTTGATTAGTTTTTGTTATGAAAATGATTAAAATTTCATGGAAATGTTGTTAGGAAGATGAAATCATGCTTGAATTAAGTTGAAAATCAAGCTTAATACACTTTAATCAATTAGGCCTAAGGGAAGAAAATAAAGAAAAATTGTGGAAAATTATACAAGATTTAGAAATGATGAATGAGTGATTCTATATGCTTAGAATGAGATTTGGACCAATTTGGAAAATTGTGAAAGTATAGGGACCTAATTACATAAATTGTGAAATATGAGGATTAATGTGCAATTGTTTAATAACTGATGTATTATGTTGAAATAAATGTTGATAAATTTTATGTTTGGATGATGATTTAAATCAAATATGAAACTTGTGAAATGATAAGGACCTATTCAAAATTAACAAAAAATTTAGGGACTGGAGTGTGACTATTCAATTGATGATGTACTATGCTGAAATTTAAATGCTGAATTGATGTTATGATTTGAAATTAGACTAATTTGGAAATTTGGTAAAGTTTGGAGACTAAATCACAATTATGGAAAATTAGGAACTTAAGTGAAAATTATGTAATTATTGAGATTTTATGTTTGAATTAAATGCTGGAATTTTTTGTTGTGTTAATTGAAGTTTGAATTGAAGTTAAATTGTAAAATTGTTAATATTGGGGACTAAATTATAGATTCGTATAAGTTATGGGTTTGAAATATAAATTTGGTATTAGTTAATGAGTAGAAATTGAACGTGTTATTGGAATATTTGAATTAGTTTTATGATGATTAAATAAAATTGAAAAGGTGGAGATGAAATTTTAAAATAATTTACCTTATGGTTAAAATTATGGTCCTATGAATTAGGAATTAAATTTAGAAGGTTATAAGAGTGAAATGGTTAAGTGTAAAAAAATAGAAAAAGGTTGAGAACTTAAATTGTAAATATTCATTTGTTTAGGTACTATATTGAAGTTGAATATTAAACTATTGAATTAATATTGGAATACTAAATTTGGATTAATTTGTAAAATTTATTAAAGTTGGAGATCAAAATATAAATTGAATAAATTGAAGATTACTAAATAAATATAAAAGTAATTGAAATATAAATAATAGAATGATGATTCTGATATTAAACTGTGACTAATTTGAAAACATGTATACTTTAAAATTTAGTGGTACACGAGGTAGAGTGTATCGAGTATATCTGTATTGGACACTAATGTGTCATACTGTTAAAAGTTACTAGCAATTTGTATTGCATATCACTCATGACTGACTCAGATATCATGCATTCTCATGTTTATGCATTGGGCTATAAAATGAAATTTAAGATATAGTATAGTAAATGAAAAATACTATACAAGGAACGATACAATATAAGAAAAAGGAGCAGTACGGAAATAGAAATAGTACAAGAAAAAAAACAATGCAAGAAAAAAAAAACAATGCTTATTTGATTATTATATTTTTTAGTAAAGATTTATATAATGTTCGATTTAACATTGAACGTTTGTAGATGAAAAGTTGATTTATAAGATGTTTGTCTATGAAACGATTTAGACAAATATTATTTAATTATTGGTCTTACAATATGTTTTCATATGATGTATTGTACTAAAGTGTATATACTACATAATATTGTTAGGCGGTCTAAAAGGTAAGAGTTAAATAGGTTGCATACTAAAGTAGATTTTGCGAATAACATTAGTTTCTTTAAATATGTTTGAATGAAACGAAGAAGATTTAATAAATATAATATGAGGCAAGGATGGTGAGAATGATGAATGTATAGTACATTATCAAGAAGAAACTGACAACAGTCATAGTAAGATAAATTTTATATTAATTAATATCTTTCATAGTTATATAATGGTTGCATAATCTAAGTTGTGGATAAATTGAAGGCAAACATATATATATCTTAACTTAAGAAAATTTATATGCATGATGGAAAACTATAATAATAGTTGTTGTCTGTGGGTGGTCGTGTGGCGGTAGATTACAACTAAAATAATTTGTTTAAAATACACTGAATATAAACATTTCAGATATTTCACCTATGATGAGATAAATGATATTAGAAGAATTATATTAAATGTGAAGTAAAATAGTATGAGAAAATGTAATGAAGAGACGTAAAAAATATAATAAGTTGATAAGCAGTTATGTATGAGCGTAGTAACAAATCATGTTAAAAAGAATAATCGGTTGAATTTTTGAATTAGGCAGTTATAATTACGATATGAAATAGATCTAAACTATATAGGCACTATCTAAAAATGGATGTGAATTAGAAATTTAAATATTTCATTATGATGTTATGTGATTAAATAGTTTTATAGTAACAACTAGATTGGAAATTTAATAAGATACAAAATTGCACAGGCTTTTGAACAAGTAAATGTCATACAGAAACAGTGTGACATCCTTAACTTGTATTCGGGTATAAATGGGGGGTAAGGTTGTTACTCTTCTGGTTCCTAGGTCTTTATACCTAGTGGGTCAAAGTCCTTGTTTATCACTCCTTGAGAGAGCATATAAAGTATGTGCCTATATTCATTAGCATAGGTTTTTCTTTGAGTCTTTCTTCAAGATACTATCGTCTTATCATCACCATCATCATCCCATTTCTTTTATAAATTATCACAACGGCCATAACATCAAAACTAGCCTTCACTTTATCATTTCGAGTCCACCTTCATCACCCTACATCAACCTTCCAAGTCACTCTAATTTGAAACCAATTTTTACTTTGTATGTTGTTTGCTTTCTTCCTCGATCCACAATTAAACGTAGGTTCTCCTACATCAATGTTAATACTAAATTGCATGACATTAGAGTTTTATAAAGTATAGTAAATTGATAACCCTTCTTATTTTTTGTTGGGCAACAAAAAATGATATTGTATGAAATATTTTATAATTGGGAGATTCATGAAGTGATGAATACACGTGTGTATTTTGATATTAAAATTGTCTATGAATCCTTTATTTATGCGTGTTTTAGAGGTTTATTGAAGCTTTAAAAAGCTTCAAATTTTGAGTTTATGCCTCAAAGTTTCAAATTTTGAAGTGGGTTTCAAAATTATGCATCATGTTTTGAAATTTCACGAAGTTTTGAAAACGTTAAACCTTTTGAACAAGAATGCTTCGAAACTCTTCAAAAACTTTTGAAACTTTCCCTAAAATTAGTAGTTTTTTCTATTTAATCTAGAGAAACATGACTAATTCATATCCGATTTAGTCATATTTTTTAAGTTCATAGTTTGTCGTATGATCCAAAGAATTTTCTTCTTTCAAATCTTCGAAGGATTTTCTCTTTCATTTTAGAAAGCATTTAAAATAATAGCTCTGACCAAACTATTTCAGTGGTCAAAGAAATTGTTGTTATTCTTAGAGGTCCTAGGTTCAAGCATCTAAGATTGTACGGTATTTGAGGATTCATCGTCAAATGGTTAAAAATCTTTAGAATAAATACTATTACTTATCACTTGTAAGCATCTTAAATTAATAAAAACTTTAACCAAGTGACTTGTATGTTGTCATTCAAGGTGGTGAATATATTCCCCAAGCTCGATACCTTAGAAAACGACAGCCCAGAAAGGGAGGCAACCACCCGTCCAAGGAGATTAGCCATGGAAGAATGATGCCATAGGCTTCATAGCTTGTGATTTTCGGCACCGCACGGCACAACACCTATCTTTCATCATCCTCAAGACCTTCACTGAAACTGATTTGATTATGTTCACTACAAAACAACATTCTTTCATGTATGAGCTTGCACTTGCTCTTCCTGGCATAGCCAGGGCCAAGATCGTTGGCCGCAACAACCACCCCGTAGGCCAGCAGGGCACCCTTCGTTGCCACCGCTGCAGTTGCCCATTCCCTTGAATAGATGCTCAGAGATCTAATTGGCCTTTTAAACCGATAATGACACAAGAAATGACAAGGAACACGCCTTGCTAAGTAAGAATTTGTAAGACACGCCACATTTGAATGTGAAATCAAACATATCCTAAATCTAGAACGTAGATAATAAAAGTTGTAATGATGAGCAACTAACTTTAGAAAATCTGTTTATTTTGAATAAGGGCAAGTCATATAACACTCAGTTTCCTTCACTCAGAGATAATTGCAAAGCATGCTCTGCTTCCTTCAGGAACAAACGAGTCAGTTCCTTCTGCCCTCTTCGATACACTATGCTACACCACCTGTTCCTACTCATCAACTTGTGCCGGACTACGTCATCTGCCTCCTTGCTACAAAATAAAGCAAATAAGATGGACCATTTTTTCAATGTATAATTTTCGCAAATGAAACATCAAAAGAAGGAAGTTCAAGGTGGAATATAATGAGGAAGGATATTCCATAAAGAATCAGAATGAATCGAATAGCCAGAATCAATGAAACTATAGATTGCAATGACAGCTTGTTTGCATTGAAAGGGGGAAATCCAAACTTCTTGTATACCTTGTTTGTTGTTCAGGGCTTACAATAATGCAGGCATTCTCAAGTAGTTCGGAATCGCAATCCTCTGTTCCAGAGCCCTCTTCAAGGTCCATCATTCTTGCCAAAGATAATGAATAAATCACAAGACATTTCCTTTGATAATCACATGAATGATGTGGGAGTGTTTTAGTTTCAAACTGTGAGATGATTCTATCATAACTTACTTTTTCTGAAGAAGGTCAACAAGCAATTGCAGAGCTCCAGAATCCCCAGAGGCTTCCCACACAGCAGTTCTTATTTCCGTATCGGATGGCTGTCTTTCTCCTTCAGGCCCAACAAGCTAGAATGAGCAATCATTTTATTTAAGACAAACAATTTAAACCATTTTTCATTTTCCAAGATGAGAATTTGAGACTCACCTTGCCCTTGAGGAATGCTACCATGTAGCTTAGAGTAACATGACAGTAACTGCAATTATTATTTATTATTATTTCGGGTTAACATGTAGAAAAAGAGAAATCACACCTCTTCTAGCATTGAGGAAACTTTAGAAACCTCATCTTCTTGCATGTCTATAGTCCTCAAGCCAGTCATAAAATCTTCAGGAAAAACCAGCTTATTCAAGTAAGAAGGTGTTCTGCGATGTCCACTCCAACTAAAGTTGCAAATCCTATCAGCTTCACCGGTATTGTTTGCTTCATCATTAGAGGACCCTGTTGGAAAAAACCCACGAGCCAGCAATTTTTTTGGTAGAAGGCACCGCAGTGAAGCTTTCTACTAACCAAAAACCAAATTTATTAGTAAATCAAAATTATTTTCTGGAGAAAGGGGGAAAGGGCATAAGAATAACTGTAAAGGTTATACCAAAGAAAATTTAGAATGTCCCTAATTAAAATATTAAAAAAATTTAGGAATATTTAGATATAAACATATAATTCATGATCACAGACCTGAGCTGCAAGCAGTTGTCCTTTGAATTCGGAAAAGGAAATATTCTGGATTGCCTCCCCAGGATAATGAATCTGTACAGTTGAAAACTGTTAGTAAATAAGCCCAGAAGAACATTATTAAAGAAGTCGTATATAGATAAAAGGCAGCCCCAATCCATTCAGTTGAATCTATTCCAACAGAGTTTTTGCCTAAATAATAACGATCCCCTTCGAAGAAAATACGGGAATTAGACAAACTGCAAATTTTGCATAAACATACCATGAGATAGTCATCTGGATTATTATCAACAGCAAAACCATACAGGTACAGAAGTTCCTGCAACAAATTTACGATTATCAAAATGGCTGCACATGCCAAGTACAAATGGCCCAGATAAGAGTTCTGAAAAATATTGATTATAAGAGGAATTTAAAGTCATTCAGGGTAGAGAATGTTCTAAAACATATTGATTATAAGAGGAATTTAAAGTCACTCAGGGTAGAGAATGTTCTAAAACATATAAGAGTTCTGAAAAATATTGATTATAAGAGGAATTTAAAGTTCCTGATTTACATGTTCTAAATGTCATGCTCGGAGATGAAATCACCTTGCATGTCTGACCCCAGAAGATTATCAAAAATAGGAAGACAAACCAATGCGAATGGAATGAAATTAATCACGTGACTTTACCGTAATAGAAACCTTAAAGCAATTTACAAAGTTTTCTTATTTTTCTATTTTGTATAGTACATTATGCAATTCATAGAAATGATAAATACAAGTATAATCTCAGGATTTTGAGATACTTCTAGGCAAACAGAAATACTACCAGCCTACTAGTCATTTTTAGCATGCCACTAATATGGAGTACGTATATGTTCACAAACAAAAGAAACCATCTAGAAATTAAACAGAGGATACAAAAAAGGCACATGAGACTATCGATATTAATATAAAAACCTTATAGAAGTAAAGAAGAAAAACTCATTTTTAGGAATAAAATAATCTGTTCAGTACAAGGAAAAGTACCTCATTGCCTTTGTTACCATAACTGATGGAAATTTCTTTGTCAGCTGGCAATGGAGACTGTAAAGCTTTCCATTTTGAGTAATGAAAAAAAATAGTGCCATTACTGGTTACATTTCCTAATATATAAACAAAAAAGAAGAAAAACAGACTAGAAGTATAAAAGATTTCATCAGAATATGTTACAAAATGGAAACACAGAGGCAAGAGGAGACTACCAGAAATAAGGTACATGGATAAAGGAACTCCGGTTATTGGCGCTGTTCCATCAACTTCCCATGTTGCCACTGCCTTCAAGTCTAAAAGTAAAAATTAACAACCAAAAATGTCGATGAGAGTCAACTCTAACCAATTCACTAGAGAGCCACTGACTAACTAACATACCATGGTTGCAAAAGTCAATGCCCGGGAGAAGACCCTCCACCCAGACAGTTTCTTCTTGTTTTGATGTGGAAGTTGCTCCATTTTCGTTATCATTCTCATGACCCTCAAATCCTGATATAAACCCAAAATAAATAAAATTCTTTAACCTCATCTCAATGTTAATACGATAAACTTTCACCTGCGAAAGCAAATAAGAGGAAAAGTCCATACACAAAAGTGGTAAGAACTAAGATCATAACCTCACTTTTTCCATCAATTTCATTAATAGGCTCTCCACTTTGACTGATGGTCACCTCAAAACTTCTTTCAACTGGAAAGGTTGTCTCAGTATCTTCTTGAATTTGGGGAAATACATAAGAATGTGGAAGAGGAAGGTTCAGCGCACGAGACCAAAATATAGAATTTGCCCTAGCATTATAGAAATCACGCAGTATTAACAACCCAAGTTCAAAGTGCAAGGAATGTCATCATATCATAGTCAATCTCCTTCATTGTCCCCACCCACCCCGTTTTGAGAGAGAATAAGAAAAGAGTTCATTTTGAGGAGATCCCTACCAAAGGAAATCTTCAAAGCAGACCTCACTGCAAAAAGAAACATTAACAACAATGAATAATTGGGAAAAAGGAAAATAACCACATTTGATTGCTTTTTTATTCGATGTAATTAATACTGACCTTTCTGAAACTCCATCAAGAGCTAGAAGTTTCTTCACCAAACCCTTCACTTTATCTTCGTACACAGAAATAAAATCCTTTTTCTATAAAACAATTACACTAACTTTCATCATCATGGATAGTCAAATTACATGCATTTCATCTGCAAGAGAAACATCAAACTATATACTTATATTTACCCGCAATTCAGTTGCTCTATACAAGGTTGTTCCTCTCAATTCCAACAACTCGTCATCGGTAAACCATAGTGGATTCCCAAAAGTGGTCGGAAGCATATCAAGATAACTAAACCAGTTTTTCAATCCACATAAATAAAAAATGAAAAAAGAAAAAAGAAAACGATCAAATATGTTAAGTACATACGGTTTCCACGAAGAATTCTTTCGGAGAAGTTCAACAGTAAGAAACAAAATCATTAAAAACCTATCATCAACTTCCCCTTCTTCAAACATCGCTCTACAGTCTGCTCCAATTAAAGGATCTTGCAGTACTCTCATCGGAGTTATTGCTAAATCCAATGGAACCACAAGAAGAACCCCTGCCCAGTTTTTTCCCCGTAAAACTAATGAAAGCATAATAACCAATTAAATAAAAATCACTTTTTTTAGAAGGGTTTTTGCTACTGACCATCATTGGGGGAATCATTGGAGGAATAAATACCGAAACCTTTGGTGGAGTCGCAATAGTTGATATTGCAGCCGCGGAATTGAGCTCCGTTCACCTGAATCAAAACCGCTGTTCGTTGAACGAGAGGGAATTGTGATGTAAGGTTGGAGTAAAATTAAGTTGAGGGTTTTGGAGAAGTGAACCTGAAGCCATTGAAGGAAGAGGTCGAGTTTTGTTTTCTCTGTACGCGCCATTATCGAGGTGATCGTCACTTGGCTTGAGTTCGACTGATTATCAACGGCACTGCAGTGAGGTTCAATAAGGGCTTTATCGTCACGAGTCGACGTCGGCTCTGGAACTCAAAGCTGGGAATGGGGGCTGCTTCGAACCAACATTTATGGTATATGCTAGACCAGTACAAATTAGTGATTTTTTGTACCGGAATAAGTATAAACTCTTACTACTTGAAACTGGGATGTAAAAACTCAAGCGACTTAAAATTTGGTTGAAACTAATTAAACTATGAATTGTTTGTAATTTGGAGCAGAGATGATTCAAAATCAATTCGAGTTTAAATTCTTGTTGATTTAAATTTGAGTCAAAGTCAATTATTTTAAATCTGAATTCGATTTGTACTCGAATTGAAAAGTAAAACTAATTTGAATTTGAATTGAACATGATAATGAATCCAAAATACATCCAACTTAATAGGAATCCAAACTCGACAATAACCTGGTGAATAATTTATATAAATTATCTTGGAACAACGTAAGATTGGGTTTTACCCGACATGTAACTTTCTCAATCTATTAATTAACATGACATCTAAATGATTTGACGTCTTATTGAGTCGATTTATATTGATCTAACATAATATTTACATGACTCGTTAGTTATAAACTAGTAATTGACAACTAATATTTACCTAATTCGAGAAAATGTTATTAAACATGCTACCCATCATTGATTTAACCATGTTTTAACTTTTAACTTGAGCTTATACTATTTAGCATGCTTGTATTTATGAATCGTATGAAGTATAATATATTAAAAGTGTACTATTAAACTTATAAACTTAAAATTCGAATATTTTCGTTGCTATAAGACTTTTAATATTATCTAAATATCATATCCACCTATTTTAATAAGCATGTACACCTTTACTTGCACTTGATTTGTAATTTTATTATTACATTAAACTTATTTTGATTCACATTATATCTATCGTGAATCTATTTTTGTGCAATTATTATTAAAATATCAATGTTTTGATATAATTATTGTGTTCATTATGAAATTAACAAAAAAATTAGTTTAGTGGGTCACTTCAGTGACCTAATATGGTATTTTAGGCCCATAGTATTATTAATAGATCTAGTTTAAAATGTTATGTCGGTCTTCATATAATCAATAATGATTGAAGTCCTATAAATAATAGTTATGTACAAACTTATTCGATATAATCGATATAAAAGTGACATCTCTTTTCTCATGCTATTATTTGTCTTTCTTTTATTTCTCTTATTTTTTATGAAAATTTTATAAATTTATAAAAATATATTATTATGAAATTTTAATTTTAATAATAGATCTTAAATCTTAACGTTTAATCTTTTAAGAATTTATATTATAAACTTCAAATAAAAAAATTAAATAAAACTAAAAAAATTATAATTCTACTTATAAGATATTTTATTTTCACTGTCAATTATAATATAATAACCATCTTTATGTTTGATATAATATATATATATATATATATATATATTCTACCTATCATAAGAAAACCAAAAGCTTAACTAACAGTTTATTGTTTTCTGTTGTTGATGTAAATTTTTTATATTAAGTAATTTGCCTATTTTAAATGTATTCAATTACATATTATATTTTATAATTTTTTTAATAATATTAAATGATTACAAGCTAATATTTGTTCATAATATGTCTTAATTACTGACAATGCATACACTTTACAAACACAGTTATTCGAACTCAAAACTTTAAAGGAGAATAATACCCCCTTTAACCACTGTGAACACTCAATGAGTTATTATACTTTTTAATAAACCATTGATATATAATATAATGATTGATTAATTTAGATAGAGTAATGTTGAAGCTCATCCTAAAATGATATTTTTCAATCCAATTGGTCCTATTTACAACTTCATAATTCCAACCTCTAAACTTATTTAAGAGATCTTGTACATTATCTTGTTAGATCAATTAATTATTAGTAGTACGCATTATATTTTTATAAATTAGTACAATAATTTTTTATTTTATCATATAAATTTAAATAAAATATAAAATATAAATTTATTTGCAATTTAAAAAATAAAATTGATATTATTTAAAACTGAAAATTACATAACAACCTATATCTTTTAAGGTGACAATAAGACTAAGGGTAAAGTATATAAATGGTCACTAAACTTTTTAGATGCTTGCATTTAGGTCCCCCAACTTTTAAAACTTGTAATACAATCACCAAACATTTAGTTCATTTGCAATATGGTCCCCGACATAACGGTCGTTTCACTGTCGTTAGGGTGAATTATATAAATGGTCAATGAACTTTTCAGGCGCTTGCATTTAGGTCCCCAACTTTAAAACTTGCAACACATTTATCAATTACATTCTAAACCCCAAATTCTAAAGTACTTTAATTACATTATAAACCTCAAATTCCAAAAATACTTCAATTACATGCCCAACCCCAAATTCATAATCCATTCTCAAAATCTTCCATAACAAAATTGAACTTGAAGGAGCAACCCTAAACCCTCAAAACATAACCATAAATGTTAGATTTCCCCACCAATTAACCCAACATAATCAACAATATTTAGTTCATTTTGGGTCCATAACAATAAGTGATTATGTTGGATTTAGGATTTAAAAGTTAGATTTAACCAACTATAAGTGAACAATACTCAATTCGATTTGAAAAAAAATATTTTTCAACTTGAATTGATTCAAAAAATTTGATACAAATTGACTTTGAGTTGTAATTTCATAAAGTCAACTTTAAAAAATCAAGTTAAAATCGAGTTGTAAAATACAACTCGAATATCTCAAAATTTTTAGTAATTAGTGGATTAATTTTTAAGTTTGAGTCAAGTCCCTTGACTCTGAATGATATATGTATATCACATATGGAAAAAATATGAAGAAATATATGTATTGTATATGGTTAAAACTATTTAAATTAGAATCAAATAATATTATAGTATTATAAATATTTATAATTAAATTTAATCAAAAACTTGATAATTCGATTCAATTTAACTTGATTTAAATTTTATAAACTCAAATCGAAAAAATTTCAAGCCAACTATTTTATAAATTGAACTAAATTAGAATCAAATAATATTATAATATGATAATTATTTATAATTAAATTTAAACAGAAACTCAAAAATTCAATTCAATTCGATTTGATTTAAATTTTATAAACTCAAATAAAAAAAATTCAAGTCAACTATTTTATAAAATGAATTGAGTATTTAGGTCCAACATAACCCAAAACCCAGCATAATCACTTATTATTCACTTATAGTTAGTTAATTTTTTTCGAAACAGATATGTTTGGAGGGTTTAGGGTTGCTTATTCAAGATCAGTTTGTTATGACAGATTTTGAGAATGGATTATGAATTTGGGGTTGGGGGTGGGCATGTAATTAAAGTATTTTGGAATTTGAAGTTTAGAATGTAATTGAAGTATTTTGGATTTTGGGGTTTAAAATGTAATTGATGTTTGTATTGCAAGTTTTAAAAGTTGGGGAGACCTAAATGTAAGCGTCTGAAAAGTTCAGTGACCATTTATATAATTACCCTAATGGCAATGAAACGTCTGTTACATCGGGGACCATATTGCAAATGAACTAAATGTTTGGTGACTGTATTACAAGTTTTAAAAGTTGATGGACCTAAATGCAAGCATCTGAAAAGTTCAGTGACCATTTATATACTTTACCCTAAGATTAAAGATTTGAAACGTGCAGTGTACGCTTGTCTTTAGAATTGTTTATACGTTGCTTGGAAGAACTCGTAATGGTTTGTTCTTAGAATGTTTGGACTAACAAGCATGGGTTGAACTTGAATCGTCTAAAGTTCATTAGGATGGCCTAAAAATTTATTGAAGGGTTCAATTTCCCCTTCCAATTCGTATTCTCGGTGAATGGATAAGGGCACCTATTCCAATTTTAGAAAAGAGAGAGCATGAGCAATTTGTCATACTGAACAAAGGTGGATGGATGGATGCTTCATAGATAATATGCATCCTGAATGTTTTCAAAACTTGTCTCCCGAAAAAATAACCCTATCGAAATCAATATTAATAATGATATGTTTGGTGTAGAGTGTCCTCTAGACGTTAGAAATTATAGAGATGTGTGACCTTATGGAGACGCATATAAACTAGTATAAATTTTATTAGGGATAAAGGTAAAAGATGTGGATGTACTATTTTTCTTTTATCGTTGTCCCTTGAGATCGTTGTCAGATAAACAATCATTCAAGGGTTTTGGTCATGATTATGAGAATTTTCCAGAGGATTATATAAATGAAGGGTCGAAGGATTCATTTGATGACAGTTTTGATGGAGTAGCAAAGTATGATACTAGAGCTTCTGTAGAGGGAACAATTTATGGGCAATTGATCATAGGATTGAATGGTTAGATCGGACTATTCTAAAGGATGTTCATGAGTCCTCTTCAGCTCACTTGAGTTCTTGGAAAGTTCCAGAGCTACCACTTAATGATATTCATGAAGTATATCTAATAGTTCTATCGGGTTTAGAGTTAGCTTATATAGAGAGGTTTGATTTATCACATATGGAGTTGTTCAACATAGACCTTATCGTGGGGTTTGTGCTAGTTGAGTAGAAAAATAAATCATATGATCTTATTGAATTTGATGGGTGAAAGGGAGTTTTTTCAAGGGAAGAAATGAAGAGGGTGCGTGTGACTTTTAAATGAAGATGTTAAGTGTTACAAACTAAATTTCTCCACTTGTATTTTCATACTTAATTAGAAAGTTGAAGATGTTAGTGACGTGTTCTAGAATATAATAGAAAATTCTACAACACAATGAAAGATCTAAAATTTTATTAAAGGTTCTAGAATATTCTAGAATGTCTTAAAATACTCTAAAATGTTCTGGAACACTCTAGAATGTTTAGAACACTATAAAATGTTCTAGAATATTGTGAAAAGTTCTGAAACATCATAGAAGGTTATAAAACTAAGAAGAATATTCTGGAATACTAGAAAGCTCATGAAGGATTCTAGAAGCTTTTGGAGAATTCTATGGGCCTATATTATTCTAGATTTGTATAAAAAGTTTTA